AAATGATTAATCATGATTAATCACATCCAAAATAAAAGTTTGTGTTTACATAATATATGTGGGTGCACTGTGTATAATTATTTTGTATATATATAAATACACACACATGGATGTATATTTAAGAAAAAAATATTATTTATATATAAAATATTTATATTTATATATAATATAAATTATATATAAATCTATATACAGTATATACATGAAAATATTTCTTAAATATATACAAGCACGTGTGTGTATTTATATATATAAAATAATTATACACAGTGCACCCACATATATTATGTAAACACAAACTTTTATTTTTGATGTGATTAATCGCGATTAATCATTTGACAGCCCTAATATATATATATATATATATATATATATATATATATATTCAAAGTTTATAATTTCACATTTTAATATTAGTTTTAGTAACTTTGTTGTGGTTTTGGTGTTTTAAAAAAGTCTATAGTTGTATTATTTTTTTGTTTCGGTTTTAGTTATTTTAGTACTTAAACAAAAACGAAAATTCGAAATGCTGTCTTGGCAATAAGCTGAAAAAAGTAGGTAAGTTTTAAGTTTTTTTCATATTTTATTTTATTGAAATTTTAGTTATATAATAATAATATTATTATTATTATATAATAACCCTGGTAATATGGAAAGTAACAGGGGTTTGTAGCCAGAATTTAGATGCAACTCTGTGCCAGCCAGTTTGGGCCTAGATTTTGGTTTGTAATTGTTAGTTAACAGTAACTGTTATTTATTTTCCAAATAAATTAAAGAAAAAAAAAATGTGGGAGTGTTTCTAGACGCGTTTTACAGGTCAGTAGAATGCGGGACAGACTATAATAAGCGCGACACACACCTATACCGTATTGTGTCCGTCAATGAAGCCCGTTTTTAACTAATCATCTCTAACGTTACAGTTCTCATATCGGTGTAAGTTAAGTTTTTACCTCGGGATGTTCCTGACACTCATCTCCACTCTCCACCCAAACACCCACTGGCGCCACAGCCGGGTTCCTCTCAGCCAACACTCTCACACCTTTGGTCTTTCTTCTGTTTCCATAGGTTATCCTTTTATTTTCTTTTAATACATTCTTTTGCGTTATCGAAGAGCAAATCCTTTCTTTAGCTGTTCTTGCTTGATTCATTGTCGTATAAATTCTTCTGGTAACGTTAGATATGAATGAGTATAACTAGCATGTATGGCTTTTCGGGAGTCATTGATGTTCTGACCTTATTAGCAGCAAGCACAACATTGATCCTTCGACCTTCTTTACGGGAGTCTTTTTAAAGGACAGCGATTTATAATGTTGTTACCGTCCTCATGCAAATAACGTTAGTATTTATACTCCTGTAACTGACAGAATTAAAACTCCGTTGTCAATGACGCTAACAGAATCACAACCGCTTAAGACACGCCCATTTGTGATGCTATTGGTCCCAGTTTTGTAAAGGTATGATTTTATTGGTCAAAAGTAACGCCTATCAAAACTAAGCTGTAGCGATTTGGTCACGCCCGATGTGTTCTTAAATGTACGTTCGATGGGAAACAGACTACCAGCTCGTTTTAGTTCCACGCATATTATACTACTTTTTCTCTAGACCTAACCGAATTAGTAGCGTCTAAAATTAAATATAGTAGGTTTTACACCGAATTTCATAGCCCTGATTTTTTTTATTGTAAATCTAATGTAGGCTATATTGTGTAGCAATTTAAAACAGAGTATGTGTAAGTATGCAAGTATGTTCTGTATGTAGGCTATGTGTGTATGTAACTTATGTATGTATGTAGGCTATGTATGTATGTCCATGTATGTATGTACTGTATGTATGTAGGCTATGTATGTATGCTGTATGTATGTAGGCTATGTATGTATGTATACATGTATGCTATGTATGTAGCCTATGTATGTATGTAGGCTATGAATGTATGTAGGCTATGTATGTATGTGTTTATTTATTTACAACCTCACTGCACAGATGTAACGTTTTATTTTTTAATGCATATAAAGAAAATGGTAATTTTATCATTTTAAATAGCCATTGTTGTCATGTAATGTCCTACTTATGCTTCTTTTTAAAACTTGTATGCCCGGTTTCACAGACAAGGCTTAGATTAAGTCAGGATTAGGCCTTAGTTCATTAATAATTCACTTTTATTAATGTGCCTTAGAAAAAAAAAAAAACACTATGAAACCAGGAGGTGGTCTTTTAATATTCAACAATATTATTGATCTGACTGTACTGATGCTGTTGTATGAGAACTGAACTGAGCTCGACGATTAGCTAGATCATTTTTTTTTGCAGAACTTCTTTAGATGAACTGAATCAACACCAAAATGACAGCCGAAATGCATATAATTTTCCTGCTATCACTGTAAAGCTGCTTTGTATTGTAAAAAGCGCAATATAAATAAAAGTGACTTGACTTGACTTTTAAAACTTCTGTTCATGCCTGAAACTATTGTATAGTGATTGTTTTTCCACAGGGTAAGCTATTTGCATTCTCTGTGCTTATTTGGGTTTCTGTCTCCAATTTATACATTTATGCATGGGTATGAATCAACACAAGATCAGCCTGCTCCCTTTACAATGCCTGTTCTCAACGGCCGTGCCCATGCATAACAAGGAGCACACTGTGTCTTTTGTGTGAATCAGCATGCACATTGTCTCTCCCTTTTCAGGGACAGAATGAACTTTGACGAGAGAGACACGATTACATAATGCTCAGATTATTGGCGGGTGAAACACTGTGCAAAGTCTCATCAAATATGTGAAAGATTGCATTTAGATCTTTCTCAATATTTTATTTAACATCTTCTTTACAGATCAACTCTACTTGTCATTTACATTCACCAAAATAAAAACAGGCCTGTTCTTGGTCTTTAAGTGAATGAAGAAAAAAAAGAAAGAAAAAAAGGAAAGACAAACATTCAATGTTGGCTTGACAAAGCCTAGCCTTACAACAATTGTAAACAATGTATTCAATTAAGTAGTTTGAATGCAGATCTTGCTAGGTGGTTGCTATAGGGTGTTCTGGGTGGTTTGCTTGGGACATAGATATGTAGCTAAACGTAGGATCCACATTCGACCGCGAGACACGTCAGCGAGCCCGCCATCTTGCAACGGTCAGCGTTTTGTCACTCACAGTAAGAATCAATGATGCCACAGCATTATGGTTTTGAAACCGCCGAGATTTAAATTCCTGAAGAAATGGGATAAACTTTCTCAGGTGAGAATGTGTTGCTTTGTGTTTTTATATGTATTAACTCAATATTACATGTTTTTACTTTTACTACGGTAACTTTTTAACGTGTTAGCTGACGCCTTCGTCTTGTTGTATTGTGTTAGTTGAGCAAAATCATCAGGTAAAGTCTATTTCATATATAGATATTCAAATATGTGGCTAACTACGGTTGCAGACAGTCAGTCAACTTGCTCTCAAATGTTCACGGACCGCTCCGATATGGCTGATGGCTTACATATAGCAGCCCATTGAAACAGCCGCCGCTCCGATATGGCTGATGGCTTACATATAGCAGCCCAGTGAAACAGCCGCTAATGCGGAATCTATGTAGATAGCTCTATGGCTTGGGAATTCTGGTTGGTTGCTAGTGTGTTGCTATGAGTGCTACGGTATAGACTTTAAGTAATTTTTATTATTGTGCCTTAGAAAAAAACATCACTGGTGTGCATCTTGCGACAAAACAATGGCACTGACATATTTTAAGATATATTTTTACATATTTTATTCTGGGATTTAAGCCTAAGGTATAGACTTTAGCAGAGGATTTTGCAGGTGACGTCAGAACCCGGAAGACTAATTCACCGGTGGTTCCTTCAAGATTTTCCAATGAGGTTTTCCAATGTTTTTTTTTTTCATTTTGTGAGTAAAATAAAAACCTGTGGTAACCAAAACTTGACGATATTTTGAGGTCTTGTTATAAAACGTAAACTACACACACTTACACCCCAAACTGTCTTATTTTGTTACTTATGAGAAACATATGTTTTCAAAAATAAACATAACTGCTTCAAAATTCACGTTTTCGGTGTGTGTAATTTACGTTGTAGAACAAAATGTCGAAGTATCGTCAAGTTATGTTGTCGGTTTTTTGCATCCCTATTTGACCTCAAAGCATATAATTCCCACACCCCCTTTCACATTGCACTACCCAGACATCTCTGAGGGTGAAGAGACCTTGGGCCAGATTTACTAAACAGGACAAATTAGTGTGAAAGATTAATAAAAAAAATAAAATAAAAATAAAAAAGCGATGGGAGTGCAAAGTTCAAATGCATAAGACTTTTGTTCATCTTCAGAACACAACTATTTTTTTTTTATGAAATCTGAGCTTTCTGTCCCTCCGTTGACAGCTTTTTGACACTTCAAAAATGTCATAAAGAGATTGTAAAACGAATTCATATGAATTGAGGTGTTTAGTCAAAAATTTCCGAAGAGACACTATCGCATTATGATGAACAGATTGAATTTAGCCTTTTATTCACATGGTAAACGGAAGCTCAAGCTTGACGTGCGAGAACCGATGAGGTTAAGTGTGTTACGCAGCACGTTTGAGCTTCTGCAAGAACCAATGAGTTTTGTTCTCGTGCGTCATGCAGGTTCAGTTGAGCTTCTGTTTATGTTCGCTGATTAATGTTAAGATTGTGTATAAAAGCCTAAATTAAATCAGTTTATCTTATAAAGCGATCGAGTATCTTTAGAAAATTTTGACTTAATTCATATGGATTAGTTTTACGACCTCTTTATGAACTTATGAAGAGTACAGAAAGATCTTGAGGGTGAGTAATTAATGAAAGAATTTCTCTTTTCAGGTGATCTATCCCTTTAAATAATGGCGTAAATATCAGTAAATCGACTAGCGCAAACCTTATATAACAGTGCTTGATTTACTTAAATACTCTACTCCCATAAATTTTGCGTCTGAAAGGGAAACTCCTACAAATGCATATGCAATTAGATCAGCCGCAAAAAATAACCCTGTCCACGCCTTCCCAGCACTAAAATTTCACTGCGTGTCTTTACTAAATCCTGACAATAGATTTTAAACGCTAAAAGAGTTTGCGCTGGCACAAGCTGTTAGTAAATCTGGCCCATAGTGTGTTAGATCAACTCAACATTCACAATATGCTTTCAAATAAAATGTGTCTTAACATGATGAAGCTAAACAAGTTTGCAGAGTTTTGGAGCATAGACACATATATATGTGTATTTACATATTTACATACATTAATGCAAGTATTTGTGCAGGTCATTATCTGACTTTTTGCAGCATGTGGGCTTGGCAGACGTGGTCAGTGCATCAACATCTATATTTTTGGGGAGCCTCTGGGTTCTTGTGGAGAGGTGGATATATCCTCAGGCCTCCTGGCTGGAGACGAGGGCTCAGGGGGCTGTGAGACTCGACTGGAGTCTCGGATATGGGGCGAGGAAGGGGCTGGTGGGCTTTGACTGTGTCCCTTCCTCCGGCGATGGTGCGGTGGGGATTTGGTGGAGGTGCGAGGGTATCTGCGAGTGGAGCGAGCTGGAGGCTCAGGCAAGTCGGATGGAGGAGGTATTGAGCTGCTGTAGCTTGGAGGGCTGCCGCTAATGGAGCTGCATGTTTCACATGTTGATGCTGGTTCACCAGGAGGAGAATCCTGAGGATGTCAAGTACAGGAATTTACAGTCTTCACACGCCTACATCATTGCACTTTCATATTAGCAAGACATGCAAAACGTCTAGGCTATTCTTGTAACAAAGGTGTAATAACATCATAACCTGTATATTAGAATAGCCTATGTGGTGACAACATAAATATTAATGTGTAATACATAGAAATGTTTCTGAAGCAGTCAGGTGTTTGCGGGTTCAACCTTTGCTCTCTGACTCACAGACAGTTCTGCTGAGATAATGGACCACTCATCCACTTGAAAGACTATTTTTAACAATAAAGTGGGTGTGCTGGGAGAGGGAAATTAAATAATGATGTCATAATACCTTCTCTTTTAAGATGTAGAGTGATACAGGATTCCTCCGCTCATGATCAGTCATTATTGGGATGACATCATCTAGATATATAGATGAACAATTTAACATGAAATGTTATATAAAGTTAATGATCCATCATTCATGCGACCCTACGTAGGACAAACGGTTTGGAGAATTAATGGATAATATAATATAATATATCCTGTACTCATTATCAGCCATTATTGTTATTACATCATCATCTAAATATATAAATGGACAATCACACATGGCATAAATCTAATCTAATATAATAAATATAACATTGTCATGGTGTTTGGCTGATAACAAAGAGCACGATGAAGGAGATAGTTAAAATAGTCCTTAATTGTTGCGGTTCCACCAAGGAAACACACAGGAGATAACTTGAAGAAACAGAATAGCACACTCTAACACTGACAAGACAGGACCATGAACTAAATAAAACAGGAAGTACATATACTAGAACTAAATTAGTTAATTAATAAGGGCCAGGTTAATTAAATGAATCAAAGAAACACATGGGAAAACTGGGTCAATTGAAAACGAGCAAACAGAAGGGGAACAATGAAAACAAAGACAGAACAGACTCTGACAGTACTCCCCCTTCCCGGAAGGCACGACCTCGCATCAAAACAAAAAGGGAAAAAGAGTCCATCGGGGGGTGGGGGGTTGAGCATCCTGGAGGCTGACGCAGGGCTGAAGCAGGGAATGACCAGGATGGCGCTGGCCGGATAGGAAGCCTCCAGGGGGGAGCTATTAGCATGGGGCGCCGGGAGAAGTTGGACGCTTAGGAAAACACCAGGGTAGTGCAGGTAAGTGCAGGGGAGCCAGGGAAGTGCAGGCAGTCCCGGGGGCCAGGGAGGTATCAGTAGTGCAGGGAGCCAGGGAGGTATCAGTAGTGCAGGGAGCCAGGGAATTACTGGTAGTTCAGGGAGCCAGGGAGGGTGCAGGTAGTCCTGGGGGCCAGGGAGGTGCTGGTAGCTCAGGGAGCCAGGGAGGTGCTGGTAGTCCTGGGGGCCAGGGAGGTGCTGGTAGCTCAGGGAGCCAGGGAGGGTGCAGGTAGTCCTGGGGGCCAGGGAGGTGCTGGTAGCTCAGGGAGCCAGGGAGGTGCTGGTAGCTCAGGGAGCCAGGGAAGTGCAGGCAATTCCGTGAGCCAGGGTGGTGCTGGAAGCTCAGGGAGCCAGGGAGGGTACAGGTAGTCCTGGGGTCCAGGGAGGTACTGGCAGTGCAGGGAACCAGGTGCCGGTAGCTCAGGGAGCCAAGGAGGTACAGGCAATTCCGGGAGCCAGGAAGACTCAGCCTCCGTGGCCTTGCCACAGGAGCTTGGCTCTGCCACTATGGCTAAGGACTTTACAGGGGAAATTTCACTCAGTGGAACGGACTCTGTGATTTCTCTCACTGGAATGGACTCTGGGATTTCTCTCAATGGAATAGACTTGGGGATATCTCTCAATGGAATTGACTCGGGAATTTTTCTCACTGGAAAGGACTTGGAACAGACAGTCTCTGGAACGGAATCGGGAGTGGATTCTGGAGTGGAGGTCCTGATGGTAAGGTCCATGGAGGGCTTGGACGCAGGCTTGGAGTTTGCTGGAGTGCCCAAACATTTTCGGGGTGGGACTGGATGACAGCTGGAAATGTCCTCATTCATTTCCTCAATAACGAAATCAGAACCATTCAACCAGAGGACATAATAAATATATTCAACCAAAAAAAAGATGCTTTTACCAGGAGAAAGAAACTGATACAGTTCATCATCCAGTCCCTCCTGAAAACAGGCCTTGAGCATATGAGTTCTCCAGCTCAGATTGTAACAATGCAAAAACTCCTCCACATATTGTTCCAGAGGCCTACTGCTCTGTTGGAGGGAGAAGAGAAGGTGATCTTCAGCTGTAGGCAGTCCATTTCATTGTCTTTTGGTCCTGTTTTCTGTATGTGGCTGATAACAAAGAGCACGACAAAGGAGATACTCAAAATAGTCTTTACTTGTTGATTCCACCAAGGAAACACACATGATAAATGCTTGAAGAAACAGAATAGCACATTCTAACACACTGACAAGACAGGACCATGAATAGAACAAAACAGCATTTATACTAGAACTAAACGAGGGAACTAATGAGTTAATTAACAAGGGCCAGGTGAATGAACTGGAACTGAAACTGAAAAAGAGCATAGAGAAGGCGAATCAGTAAAATAAGCTTGTTAGCCCAGGGTGCATTTACTCTGATGAACATTTGATATGGACAGCAAATCAATATTAAATAACAACATAATTACAATGAATACATACCCTCGGGTTTGACGTCATGATACCTGATGTGGTGGTTTTGAGGAATGGATCTTGGTATAATAGTTTTAGACTTCTGTTTTTTTGATCTGGCAATGAAAGTATTTATGGTGACATGTTCAGTTACACTAATATTATTAACTTCATGATGGATGAGTGAAAAAAGAAAAATAGGTTTATACTTTTTTGATGGCCTCCAGCAAGCACACACAGTTACAAGGGTGACGAGGACGAAGATGCCGACTGTAGACAGTATGATATAAAGGGAGCTCCTTTCTGGAAACGAGAACATTTTCAGCCATTTTGTTTCTTAAAGAACTGCAAACATTACATAAACATGTCTATAATACAGTATCAATGTATTCATTATGTTCAAATGTTCCCATTCTTACTGTAGACCGTGAGTTTCACTGGCAGACTTCTCATGCTACTAATCGGGTTCTCCACCATACAACTGTAGACATCATCATCAACCATCTGAACGCGTGTGATGGTCACGACTTTCTGGTCCGTTGACAGCAGCAGACGGGTCTCATTTAATAATGGATGGCCACCTTTTGCCCAGCTATAGGTGGTCTTTGTGCCCGTGTCATGGGTGCAATTTATTGTGAAATTCTCTGTCAGTTCCAGAACAGTGGAAGTGACCATGAGGACGTGTGGCTTAGAGATTGGCTCTGGTAAAACATCAGCCAAGATTTTATTGGTATGATTTAATGAGATCATAATGATTCCCAAATGTCTACAATGTCTGATTTTCTTTTCAAAATGTTCTTAAACTAGAGTCTTACCATCTACCGTCAGGTCGATGCTGCCCTCTCCAGTGAAGGTGTCATCAGTGATGGAGATCTCTACTTCATAAGTGCCCTCATCAGACAGCCTGAGGTTATGCAACAGCAGTGTACCATTCTCAAACACAAGGATACGGTCTCTGTATTCCGGCCGCAGGTTACCAATAATCTCCGTGCCAATGGACTGGACCACTGTAACAGGTTTGTCCCTCTTCAGCTGCCATTTGATTACAGGAGGATCCAGACTTCTGCTTGAGTATCGGACAGAGAGCAGAGCTTCTCCACCTACTGTCCCTCTGATCAGCGTCTCAAAACTGGTTATGTTCACCCCCTGAACACATGCTGTGAAATAAACATCTATTAAACATCTGATTTATGAGATTGATGTTAGTTTGTGAAAATGTGAAGAGACCAAGTCAGCTGGTGTGGCATCATTATCAAGTTCATAAACAGTCATTACCTGATCTTGTGCTGACTGCACTCAAAACATATGTGTGCGTACATTTTAATTTAGGTGTTCTTGTTACAGTGTAAGCATATATTTAAGTACTGAGTAATATTAATTAATGATATGTACTTACTATAGAGTTAGTTTTAAGATTTGGGTTTGATTTAGTTGCATGTAATTATGCTTAATTTACTGTTATTATTATAGTAAGATGTAACATTTTTAACAAGGACACTGCAAAATAAAGTGTTACCAGTAAAAAAAAAAAAAAAGTGTTTGAATTGCAGATAAAATGTCCATTCATTTGGATTACACATTTTTAACATAAACAAATAAATAAACTTAAATGTGATAGTTGTCAGAAATGGAACAGGTAAGAAACAGGTTACATTTCTACACAATTACCAGGCTACTGTATATTTATCATTAGACTTAGTTCATCTCATTTGTTTTGATTTATTTCAACTAATTGAATATTGCTTGTTCTACAGCAAGCATATTTTAACCATGTTCATACTTTTTAACTGAATAAATGTAATTGTATTCCCAATAAACAGATTTATGCTGATGATTCTCAGCAATTTGAATAAATGTTTTTAAAAAATATGATTATTTAATTAAAATCAAATGCAAATAGTTAACAATAAACTATGCCATGTTTTTTGAAGAAATCTTACCTGTTTTATTTATGACTGACAAATATGCATCATATTAAGTGTATTAATTTGTTGTTAAAACTGTTTAACTCAAATGAATGGAAATTTGATGCGCAATTCAAATACAAAAATCTTAAATTTAAAGTCTAGTTGCTGTACGTGCATAGTGCTTTTTTAACTAAAAACAAAACAAAGACAAACCCACAAATATTCTATTCAATTAATCAAAACATTTTTGTTTCCCCCAACATGCATCATACATGCCACAAACTTTCTTGCATCCAACTAATGGTCATGTGGTGTAAAAGTTGTGTGGTGGGTAAAGCTCAGGTTTCATAATCAGAAGATTAATGGTTTGATCCACACAAGGAGTGACCCATGCAATGAGCCATTATGCTTTTGAGCAAAGCACTTCACCTCAGGCTCCTTTACAAGGATTGAACCTGTAGTAAGTGCACTGTAGGACACAAGGGATTAAAGTGTCTGATAGATGACTGATGCTATTTAACACAGTTGTGAAATCATGACATTTTAAAGTAAATTCAGCATTTGAGTCTTTAATGTCTTTAAAGTTGCTATGTAAAGGAAGTAGCGACATCTTTGTGGACACATCTGAGTGAAACAGATTATTGAAAATAAATTAGGACGGGGACTTGGTTCATTGAGTGTTGATTGGTTGGAGACATAATGCAAGCTTGAGGTCGACTGCAAGAAAGGGGCAGAGTTTAATAATAATTTAATAATAATAATAATAATAAACCTTCACAATAAGATAAATAACATGCATTTAACTCTGGTGCTCTTTGCATGGAGGTAAAAAATTACAGAATATTTTTTATTTCTTTTATTTCTATGAAACTAATTAGTTTGATAATGTTTTCTATTTAATATTTTGTACTTCTACGGTATTTTAAGGTACTAAATTACATTTATGCAGTAGTTATAATCCATTTATTCACTTTTTAAGCATAGACCTGAAAATGGAATTTCCAACTTAAACTGTCGTAAATCTTGAATGCTTCAGAGCACAGGCTTAAGTTTGGTCTCTTTTCAAAGACGACACTTGGCAGATTAAGTAAAAAAATAATAATGTAAAAAAAAAATATACAAAAATAAAAAAAAGTTATAGAATTTTACGTTTTTATTGTTATGAAAAATGCACAAAAATACTATTTAATTTTTTAAAAATATATTTTCCGAAACACGTTTTACTCTAAAACTATGAGGAAAATCAAAGCCATAAATCTAAACAAGATGTGTTCAAAATTTGAGCTTTATATCAAAAAAAAAAAAAAAACATTAATTAATTTTCCATTAATTTCCAATGCGATTATTTTTGACTATGAGGAGTACAAGGGTGTTCTTTTTTCAGGACCATTTATCCTTTTAGAATCATGTCCATATCCATGTTTTTTTTTAGCAAGTGCCAAAACCTTTACCAAGTTTCGTATGATTCCGATGAAGTAAAAAAATTATTTCGGTCAAAAATGACCAAAGAGCACCAGAGGGTTAACAATTTGATTAATTTCCATTTTATTCAGACTTTAAGTTCCACATGTGTTCACTTTTGATGATTGTTCATTAGTTCACGTAGATTCAGCATTCCCCTTATTATTGTTTCCACACATACAGGGAAGATACACTTAATGTGTCAGTTTGTTAAGGCCTCTCCCTGCCTTCTGTCTAACTTCACTGCAATCATGTGCAAATGAAGCCATAATAATACTCATCAGATTCCTTTGACAGACAGAAAAACACCATAACCTTCATACAGGACACTTGCACAGCCTAAAACACCCTTTACAACTGAGCTCTTTCAGATATTGATGATTCAAATCACATAATGGCAAATGGCTATGGGTGCAGGCCAAAAATGGATCACAAGTCTGTTCTGATAGGCTCATAGACAGACAACAAATAACAAAATCCAACTAACTAGTTATTGTAGCAATATACTGTTTAAAGGTTTGGGGTTGGTAAAATGTCCTAATGCTTTTGCAAGAAGTATTCTATATAGGCTCACAAAGGCAGCATTCATTTGATTAAAAACCAATAAAAATATTGCGAAATATTTGTTACATGTATTTTCTGTCTCCTATGTTTCAGTGTGTTTTTGGTTTAGTCCTGTGACCTAGTTTTCCCCAGTCTGTTTATTTAGTTATGTCATTAACATGTGCCCTGTTAATTTACTAATTAAGTTCCTTTGTTTTCTTTGTTAACTAAAACCCTCATTACTCCAGTCTTCAGTGTCACATGATCCTTCAGAAATCATTCTAATGCTGATTTGCTGCTCAATATATATATTTTTTAAATTATTATCAATGTTAAAAACTGTTGTGCTGTTTACAGTTGTGCAGTTGTGACAATAAAGTTTTGTGGAAACAGTGATATTTCATCTTTTGCAATATTATACAGTATATATCTTACTTGTCTCATTTGACCAATTGAAGGCAATCTTGCTTAATCAAGCATTAATTTCTTTGAAGGAGTTTTTCTATTTTGAGCCATGCAAACAACCCAGACTACTTTAAATATGGGCCCACATATCAGTTTTCGTTATCAGCCTGTCATTTATGCCATTCATGATAATATTAATAAATATAAATGCTTCATTAAAAAAAGTTTTGTTTTACTTCTGTACTGTACAATACATATTTTTAGTGGATCACCTTCTAAAGCCTTAAGTAATTTAATGTAAAATATCCTCTTTCTCTGATAACCAGCATAATAAAGCCTGTGTGGAAACAGCCCATCTCCCTGGTAACTGCTTACAGTGTGAAAGGTCTGCCAGAGATGAGAACACAAAAGCTTGAATTGTTTGGCCCAATTTCCTGGAATGAAAAGGGCCCACAGAGCGACAAACAATCCATGTGATGAGATGAAAAGTGACACACGGGGCTCCTGTGGCTTTGTTAATGACAACATTGGCCAATTGTACAACACAAACAGCTTCTAAAGTAGTCATGATGTGAGGATAGAAATGGGGTTTCATGATGTTGTAAATAGGAATATGAAGTACAGTAGTCCATACATCTTTGTCCTTCTAGTAACTAATTGTCTCAATGCTGCTATCTGCTCTGACAGTAGATCCGGATAGGCAAACACTCAAATGGTCACAGAAACCTATATAGAAACACAGCATCTTTTTATTTTACTCAATTTTTTTATTATTTCCATTTGGGTGTGGTATCAAAATTCCAGGAATTTTTCAATAAATCAAGTCACACTTACGTATAATGAATGAATGTCATAGCATTATACATCCAGATATAAAACCATTTATTAAAGAAACCAAAATATATGAAAAACAAAACAAAACAAAAAACATTTTGGGGTAACACTTTGTCGACAGTCCACTTTAGACATTCTACTAACTATAAGTAACTTTGCAACTACAAGTCAACTAACACTCATTAGAGTATGCTTAATATCTCCTAATACTTTATTTTGATGGTCCACCATACAGACTATAAGTCTGTTATAAATTCACTGACAATAAAGTAACTCTGCAACAACATGCCAACTAACCCGAACCCTAAGACCTAAGAGTCTACTAACATTCTACTAGTCTACTAATACTCTAATGAGAGTTGGTTGACATGTAGTTACAGTTACATAGTTAGTAGAATGTCTATAGACCATCGAAATAAAGTGTTAACAATTTGGGTAGCCAACCATCCATCACACTGACACCAGTTATTGTTTATGAAATAAGGTGACTAGTTAAAAAAAAAAAAAAACTAGAAAGCTTTAGAATTATTTTGTTTGCCGCTTGATTTCATATTTTGTTATCTGCTATGGAATTCATACACTAGAAGTGTGGCAGAAGTGTCCAAATTCTGTATATTGTGGTCTAATCAATAATATGGTGGTTATTTTCTGGTTTCTACTCATTACAACACATGCTATAACATTGAAGTCCTTGACATATCTTATACAAAACAGACTATATAAAACTAAAAATAATTTCTGTAATTTTTTTAACCTGCAGCCAGCACCACGCCATAAGCTCTCGGTCAAGGCCGACAGTGGAACGTTGTCATTGAATATAAATTTACATTTGTCCCTCTTACCTGAGTGAATCAGAAGGATCAAGAGGAGAGGTGCTGCAAAAGCAGCTGATGCCCAAGAGAAAGACTCCTTCTCTGCCTTCATCTTGGGTCGAACTTTCACAGTCTTCTCAAAACAATTAGCATGATTTGTTCACTCTGAGCCTGTCCCCCAACTCAGAGTCCTGCCATTCCTTCCGAGGCTGGGCTATGCCATGCTGCTGACAAACGCACACGCAAAAACACGCACAGACGTGCAGTCACACACACATGTGCATGTGTACATGCTTTCACACAACCAGTGCAACACGATAGCATGTTTGTGAGTCATTGAATGGGTCTGTTTGTGTAAGGGGGAGAAAGGGGTGGTAGTGTGTGGGGAGGTTGTTGTTGCTACACGGCCTGACTGTTTATTGTATTTTACTAATGCATTTTCCTTGAGTAATTATTATAATAACTATTATAATAAAGAACTGGATTCTTTAAAAAAAGATAATTGTGCAACAAAACCATAACTAAAACTTAGATGAATGAAAGTAATGGGAAAATAACAATAACAAAAGAAAAATTGACAGCACTGCAAGACTTTGCCTTTCCTGATAAACTTTACAAAACAAATTCATAAAGAAAATCCAAATGACATTATTATTTTTTGTATTGTTGCTTCATGATCTCCCTCCACCTCATTGTTCATAACATCAATAGGAAAGGGGAGAGCAGGCAAAATAAGATAAGGGAAGAAATTCATATTTAAGCTGATCTGGGATCTGATTTACCATTATAAAGGCATATCAAGAAACAGAACCAATGATTTTAGATTGTGCAAATGGGTAGTTGGCAAATAACATGGTCATTTTTTGTCTTTTAAGATGTTTGATTAAAATGTACTTGAATGCAAAGGTAGTTTGCATAATTGTAGATTTTGTGAAGTTTTTTTTGCAGTTTTCTTTAGTTAGTAATTTTTTTCTGACAAAAATGTAAATATTATACAGTATATATATATATATATATATATATATATATATATATATATGCATGAATGCGCATATGTACTGTATATGCATATATTGATCTCATCGAGTCCAAGTAATCCATATGTCTTCTATGAAACACAACATTAATCTGAATTTAAACCAGCCCCCCTGGTAGGTTTAGTATAAACCTCAATTTATGGAGTAGCTTCCTCCAGGAAACCAGTTAATTAAACTCTATAGACTAAGTCTAGGACTATTTATTCGTTTGAAAGATTCTGTTAATCTGGTTTAAAAGGACATTATAGTCTAAGATTAAATCTCTATCCGGCAAACCTCCCTTTTGTAAATTTACTGTCAGTGATTTGTCATTTATTCCCAATGCTTTATTTTATTGAATTTATTTTATATGACCTTATAAGTTTCACCTAAATAATTTGACGATCAGACATAACAAAGACACAATCTGTTCAACGTTTGCTGATTATTAGTCATTCTCTTAAAACCTTTGTATGATACAATTTGATACATCTGTCCACTTGTCTCTATACAACTTTTTTTTCTTTGTCTAGTTGTCTGGCTGCAGTAATCTCTTTGCTTGTGTTTTATCAATCGAAAAGATTTTGATTGGCAGAATTCCCAGCAACTTTACAGATGCTTTTCAATGACAAAAACTTTGTAAGCACTTTACAGTATGTAGACAGCTGGGGTTCCACAGGGCATGTTTATACAATGCTGCCCTCCACTGGCTTGAACGCACCAAATTGACCCCTCCTTTTCTATCTCACTACAAAATGGACAGTGTCCCTTCAGGGTCTCCATATTGACTTTTACTGTATCTCTAATAAAAGACATTTTATCAATAAAAGACAACAGGGCACGGAAGACACTACAGGCTAGAAGCCTAAAAGTGAAGGGAACCTTATCAAAAATGACATTCACATCTATGTTCACATTTCACTTTCATTTATACACATACAATATAGGGAGTAATTAAGCCAGTTAAGCGACTAATTCGTTTTCCGTAATATAAGTCAGTGTGGGTGTAATGACCTCTTATCATTAACAGGCTTGTACTTGTAAGCATTAACATGGTTTCTGTACTAAACAAAAGGCATATTTACCAACAAAAGGAGAGATGCAAGGCGAACATATGAGCCTACAGAAGCAGGAGGCAACACTGTGGCAGATTTTGTCTGTGTTGCCATTGGAAACCTGAGTGAAATTCATATTTCATAACTCTCCCACCCCCGGCTGAGTCCCTGGACGTGTCAGAGTGAGTGGGAGCCGACGTGGGTGTAAAGTGGGCTCAGAGGCTCCAAAGCAACTTAAGGCTCTCATCCCACAGCGCAACACAGAGCAGGATATTCAGTTACTACTCGTGGATTCAGACATGCTGGGGTTGTTGCTATGCTGAATTCCTTGAGTTGTGATTTGCTTTGATATGAACCATTTGCCCTTAAGTGCCTATTTTTGAGAATGGCTCAATATTGAAGAGATATTTTTGGAAAATAGTATTTTTTAGGTGTGTCCTTATGTGAAAGAAAATGATAGGTTTCCTGATCACACTTCTCTGATATGCAAAAGGAAGTTTTGTTCATTTCATTCGGAGATGAAATACCACAGCACACAAAGACAATCTCTCTCAGTTCTACACTGTAAAAAAATGCCATGTAACCTAAATATGTGACTAACATGGTAATATATAAATTAACAAGTTTTATGTAAATAAAATAAATAAATAAATTCACACACATACAAACAAGAGACTAAATCATCCAGAGCAAATCTCGCCAATCGATCTGCAAGATTTTAGTAGAAATTTGGCTGATCCTTGATGCGATCATGGACAGCAGTGCAAAGTTGATTCTCTGCTAATTTGATCTAATATTTTATAGTTTTTTAAATTGTTGTAATGAGAATCGCTAAATTATTGAATATATTTTGAGACAAAGGTCTTCTTAAGGATTTTCAGTTTTGTTCAAGGTAAATGAAGCAACAGTCTTTCAATAACAAAAGAATATGTAAAAGTATATTATTTGGGGTAAAAGGCACCCTTGATGTTGGGCTGAAAGGCACAATACTTAACATGATAATAATAGCATGGCTGACTTTTCCATTTGTTGAGATGACATGGTTAGATTCAGATGGTAAATATCATAAATTAAGTTGGGTTTCCACCTTAGAGATAATCACCATATTTATAATGAAACCATCATATTTAAAAAAAATGATAGGTATTAATCCTATCACATCATTATAATTTATTGCTACTACTGTAAATCTAGATTAAATGAATATAGGATCCCCTTCAATGATTTAAGAAGTAAAGTATTTGTATAAATAATGTGTGCCTTTTGCCCCATGCTTGCCACCTCATTCATTTATTTTTAAACAAAATAATCCACTTTTATGATTTTTTTAACACAAAATCTGTTGCTCTATCAATTATCAATACAAACAAATCTATTTTTTCTGAAATCATATGTGGGGAAATCTAGAATATACATTGATAGAGTAGTATAATTGTTATAAGATAATTGTTAGTTAAAAGCTAGACCCCCCCCATGTAATAGTTTTTTGTCATTTCAGTTATTTTATTAATAATGGTTTTTTAATTATTCAGTACCTGCATTTTAATTTGTAGTATACAGCTATGTGATGGGTGTCCAATGGGTGGCAGTAAGCCAGAGGATTACCCCCGGAGAAAAACCTAGAAGAGAAAAAGAAAAGTTAGTTCACGCGAGGTTTTGAACGGGACTAGGAGTATTGAGTTATGTTGTACTGTGTGGTACGGAGCTGTTGCGAATGACGCTGGCTGAATAAAAGAACCCAACCAACTCACACGCTTGTTCATTCCTTCAAGTGTGTTACAAAATACTGGCGACGAGGCTGGGATCGGCGGTGCCGTTTTGAGTGAGTTGTCTACGAAGACGCTGAGCATGGACATTGAGCAACTGCAAGATCAGCTGAGCGCTGCGTTGCTCCGGCTGCGACTCGATCAGCTGCACGAGGTGTGTGTGTATGTGAAACTGTCAGTGGAGGAGGGACAAACAAAAAGGCACTCGCTGATCAGATTAATAAGTGAATCAGTTGAGAATGTTATTGAGACGGAAGATGACGATGTAGCCCGTCGACATGTGGAAGATTTGTTAGAGTTTTCTAGCAAGATGACGCAAAGCAGTGAGCGCGCGGTACAAGATGGCGGGGGTGGCGCAGACGGAAATTCGGCGGAGCTCGCGCATTTAAAGAGACAGGTACACAGAATTGCAGCATCAGTTTGAGTTGTCAACAAATGTGTTAAACAACGAAATACAACGCCTGAGTTTGAAAGTTCCTGATGTGTCAAGTCCCCCTGTGTTTTCCCATCATCATCATGCAGTTCCTGAAGTCACTATCCGGCGTGATTTTAAGATTAATGGCCAAATTGGAGAACGGGGTCAGAAAGATAAGCTTTCATACAATAACTTGATGCACCAAATTGATGCTGGAGTGAACAAGGGACACAGAGAGTCTGAAATAATTGATGCGGTGATAAGAGCAGTGAGTCCAGGTATGAGCCTGCGTGATATGCTGGAGATCAAGACTGATTTAACCCTTTCTCAGCTGCGCACAATTCTGAAAGGCCATTATAAGGAAGAAAGCTCAACAGACCTGTATCATCGACTGATAAACATCACTCAAGAGAGCCGTGAGTCACCACAAAACTTCCTATTCCGTGCCATTGAGTTGAAGGAAAGACTTTTAGCTGCTGCTCGAGAACCAGATGGAGAAGAACCGTACAGCCCTGATCTCATACAGAGAAGATTCCTGCGCGCCCTAGGAACAGGGTTATCAAACGATCACATTAAGTATCAGCTAAAAACCTGCCTTGATGATCCTAAAATCACAGATGAGGTTCTCATCACACCTATGAACGAAGCTGCAAGTCTTGAGTGCGAACGACAGCAAAAGTTCAAGAAAAATGCCAACATCAAAGAAACTAAAGTCAGTGAGGTTCCAGTAGAACTACGTCAAAGTCAAGAGAGAATGGGTTATGCTGTTGGAGGTAAAGAACAGTCCACATGCACACAACTAAAAGTTTTGAAAACTCCACAAGTCATGGACAAGAAAGACTCTGAGCTCTATGAGGTTGTTAAACAGCTGAAAGAGGAGATCGGAGAAATGAGGAAAGCGATGAGTACTTACCGTTCCACGCAGCCCAGAGAAAGGAAGCGAGGATGCCGTGGATGTCAAGATGATGGCAGAGGTGACCAGTGTGATCATTGCTTTAAATGTGGGCAAAGTGGACATCTTTCCAGAGGGTGCAGGGGAACAGCTGCAGGAAGAAC